TTTTTTTGGTCTTTTTGAGATAGGGTTTCACTACGCAGTTCAGGCTGGCCTTGAGCTCACTTTGTAGCCCAGGCTGGTCTCGAACTCGCAACCGTCCTCCTGCCTCAGCCTCCCAAGTGCTGGGATTACAGGCGTGCGCCACCATGCCCAGCGCGTTTCTCATGCCTATCAACAGCACTGGATTTCTGTTCAGGCACTTAAGTTACTTGGAATGAATTCTTTCAGGGCTGGCATTTAAGCTGTTAGAGCAGGTCCTAAGACGGCCCCTCCGCGGGCTCCACCCAAGCCCAGAGCTCAGTCTTGTCTCTGCTCACGCTGCCAACTGCCCAGTATTAGTGAGGGCTCTGTCCTTCCTTGCTCCTTTCTCCGGGCTCTGCACTGGGGATCCTCCTCCCTCCATGATCAGCAAGACCTGGGCTCTTTCTGCGGCTCTGATGCCCCCTCCCGTGAAAGCCCTCCTCCCAACACCCGGCCTTTGGCTTCCTAAAGTCCAACCTTGGTCTTCTCAACCCAGCAACATACAGATCTGCCAAGTTTCCACCCTCCTGCAGCCCAGTCTGCAAACTGCCTGCCAGGTAATAAGCTCACTAATCACAGAGTTCACTCTTAATTATTTTGTCTTTGAGATAGGGTCTTGCTATGCAGTTCAGGCTGGCCTTGAGCTCACTTAGCACAGGCTGGTCTCGAACTCACCGTGATCCTCCTGCCTCAGCCTCCCGAGGGCTGGGATTGTAGCTGTGCATCACCATACCCAGCTTATTTTCACTTTTTTTTTTTGGAAACAGGGTTTTGCTATGCCATTCAGGTTCGCCTGGGACTCACTTCGTAGCCTAGGATGGCTACGATCAAACTTGCAGCGATCCTCCTGCCTCGGCGAACCGTCAGCCAGTGCGTGTGTCACCACATCCAACATTTTACTGTTCAGACAGGTCCTGCTAAATTGCCCAGGCTAGCCTCAAGAATCACAATCCTCTTGCCTCTGCCTTCCAAGTACCTGGGATTACAGGATGGGGCACTGCACCTGGCTTCATTTACCTCTTTCGCCTTCTTTCTGGATCGCAAATGCTGCAGTGTCTTTTCTCCACTGTCTAAAATCTGGGTGTTTCATGTATTTTGCCCAACTTGTACTTGTTTAAGGCTTAAAGGTATCTGGTCCATTTTCTTCAGATCTTGATTATATGTATAAAACATATTTGAGATGCATTCTCAAAATACTCAGGAGTTCCCAAAACAGACATTAAAAGGACACCTAATATGTAAATAGCAGGCAAGCTGGCACAATCCCTGTAATCCTAGTACATGGGAGGCTGAGGCAGGAGGATGCCAAGTTTGAGCACAGCTTGGGGAATTTAGCAAAACCTTGTCTCAAAAAACAAGTACAAAAAAGGGGCTGGGGATCTAGCTCAGTGTGAGGCAATGGTTTCAAGGACCAGTACAATAAATAAGTAAATAAAGATAAAATATAAAAATATACCTCTCAAGAAATGAGCAAAATGAGCTGGGTATGATGGCACATGCCTGTAATTCCAGCACTCAGGAAGCTGAGGCAGGAGGATCATTGTGAATTCAAGACCAGCCTGGGCTACAAAGTGAGCTCAAAGCCAGCCTGAACTGCATAGTGGGACCCTGTCTCAAAAAGGAAAAAAAAAAAAAAAAAAAAGGGCAAAACCAGGCATGGCAGCAACTGTCTGTAATCCCAACATCTGAGGCTGAGGCAGAAGGATCACAAGTTTGAGGCCAACTTGAGCTACACAAAAAGGCAACCCTGTCTCAAGAAAACAAAAATTTAAAAAATATGCTTTCTATATGAAAAAATTTTTTTTTCCTTTTTGACAGTACCACGGATTGAACCAAGGGCTTTACAATCCTCTTGCCTCAGCCTCCCAGAGCGTTAGAACTTCTGGTGTATACCACCACATTGCATTGAAGTATTCCTGAGATCCCTTAAAAAAATGCTTAGAACCAGAAATGTTTCAGATTTTTGGAGAGTTGGGTTGCGGGGGAGCTTCATAAACTTCGCTGGTTTGAGCACCTCTGATCTGAAATAAAATCCAAAAATGTTTGCGTGGAACAAGTTTCAGATTCTGGATTTTTACGTTAGGGATTCTCAATGTCAATTATACACTATGTGGAAACCAGCAGAGGAAAGGGGTTCATTTTGAAATTTCACCATTCAACCCAGTAAAGAAAGGAAACTGGGCCGGGGAATGTAGCTCAGTGGCACAAGGGCAAGGTCCTGAGTTCGATTCCCGGTTCCAAAAGAAAATAAAAATAAATAAAACTGAGAAAGGAGACAAAACACCATTTCTTTCCTAGCAAAGATGATTTATTGAGCTCCACGGAGGATATGTGACCCACTCCGCAGCAAACCATGCCGGCTCTTCCGGGCAGACGCCGACAGCGCTCGCGTCCAGCAGAGCCGGGCAGGGTGGCGGGTGCGTTCGAGCCCGGCGGTTTCCCCGGTCTTCTCAAATTCAGACATTTCTACAACAATTCTGGTATTTCCATCAAAGGTCGAAAATTAAATTCACAGACTTACAAAACATGGGATTTGTGCTTAAAAAATTAACAGTTGTTTGATAGCCACCATCTTTGGAAGTGATTTCAACAGTCCATGAAGTGTTTTATAAATATTTTGGAATATATGTAAAAGCTTTCATCCTCATTCAACTAAATATCTTCTCTTGGAAAATAAAAATGTGTCCTAAAAATTAAACCGGTAAGCTTTTGCAAATGAGATAAAAATATTTAAAATTTAATAAATATTAAAGTGAAAAATTAAGTCATTTCATAGAGCTGTAATGGATACTTGTTCCTAACCGCTTACAAAAAAAAGAAAATTACTTTTTAAAAAACTCATATAATATTAAAAAAACAGATATACTTGGAAAGTTTATACTTTCTTCCCTTTAAAAACTTCAAAAAATATTCTGAAAAGAAAGAGTCCCTTCTTTTAAAACCCTAACGCACCCATCACAAGTACAACAGCTGTCATCGCTTTGCTATATAAAAATAGTTAAAAATCAATGTTAATTTAGATAAAAATTTTAATTCTAGCGTAATTAAAAACAATGGAAAACCGGATTAATCTCCCAGAATGCAAATGAAGCTAATTTGACTTTAATACTTAAAACTGAATTATTTATTGTAATTTATTATAATTACTTTCAATTAGGTTATTTAATAGAATTATGTCTGTTTTTGTAACTAAATTATCCATTTAGGACCACTGCAGTGATTCAATAAAACCCCGTAAGTACAATCATCTTTTGGCTTAACTTCCTCTACGACTACGGGCAGCCAAGACCCAATGGCTGCGTGCACGCACGTCAGCGAAAGTCCATGGCTTACATTCCGCTTATGTAAATAGCTTCATATGCAAGTGCGCTACTTTCTTTGTGCAAAGTCTTAAATTCAAAATAAAAATTGGGCAAAAAAAGTTGAGATATTTTCACCCCAGGGATGGAAAAATATTTTTCAATTTGTTTTTGTTTTTTTGAGACAGGGTCTCACTATGTAGTTCAGGCTGGCCTGGAACTCCTGGCAATCCTCCTGCCTCAGCCTCCCCAGTGCTGGGATTATGGCCACGCCTGGCTCTAACATCCTTATCACACTGAGGAGGACTGCTTTGCTACGACCATACAGAAACTGCAAACACAACACCGTTACAGAAATACACTCATAGGAATCAGGGTGAAGCCCACGAGCTACACCCACATGGAAGCTGATTTTATCCAACACTCAGTCGCTGAATTAACTGGGGGCCAGGGAAGAACAGGCGACCAGGACCCACGTTAAGCAGCCGGGGGAGTCCCGGCTCCTCCGCGCTTCCGATGGGCCCGGCGCTCCAGAGACCCGGGATGAGGGCAAAGCGCGTTCCGTGCGCGCCCCTCGGGCCGGGCGGCGCAGGCGCAGCGCGGGGAGGCTCGGGCGGTCCCGCCCTCTCCGCACTGAGGAGCCGGGCTCAGCACCAGCAGGGCAGCGCGGGCCGCGCCTCGGGCTGCAGGGCCACGCCGTCGGCGGCCGGCTGGCTGAGCACGAGCGGCTTGTGGCTCTTGAGCTTGTGCGCCAGCGTCATGAAGATGGCCTCCACGTGGTCGCTGTCGTGCGGGCTCTTGGCCGAGGTCTCGAACAGCGGCATGCTGTGCGCGTCCGCGAACTTCTGCGCCAGGTCCGTGGGCACCTGCACGGCGCCGCGCAGGTCGCACTTGTTCCCCACGAGGATGCGCGGGATGTCGCCGGCCAGCAGGTGCTGCCGGCACTCCTCGATCCAGGCGGGCAGGCTGCGGAAGCTGGCCAGGTTGGTGACGTCGTACACGAAGACCACGGCGTGCACGTTGCGGTAGTAGTGCTGCACCATGCTCTTGCGGAAGCGCTCCTGGCCCGCCGTGTCCCACAGCTGGATCTGCAGGAGACAGGGCACCTCGCTGCAGGGACACCGTGAGCGCGACCCCTGCACGGTCCCGCCCACACTCCCGCCCACACTCCCACTGGCCGGGGCCTTGGGGCGCACACACACGCTTCAGTGGCGCCCTGCTTCAGGGAATAAGGCTACACCTCAGGAAGGGATTTTATTTTGCTTTGTTTTTTTGAGACAGGGTCTCGCAAAGCAGTTCAGGCTGACCTTGAGCTCACTTTGTAGCCCAGGCTAGTCTCGAATTTGCAACGATCTTCCTGCCTCAGCCTGCTGAGTGCTGGGATTACAGGCCTGCAACACTTCGCCCGGCTTCAAGAAGGTATTTTAAAATCCTTTTAACAGAAAATACATCAGGCTTTAGCAAACAAGTGGCTACTTAATGCCTATCAATTTGGTTTCCACACCCCTGAGGACTCCTCCTGGTCTAATTAAACATGGAGGCCCCCAGAGGGCAAGCCATGGTCCAGCCCAGACCTAAGGTGCCTGTCAGGCACACATGCTGTACCCCACCGGCTGCTCCCTACAAAAGCCACACCGGGAGGGCGCTGGTCACTGCAAATGCACGCAGGTGCCTCTGCTGAAAGATCCCTACTGGGCCTAGGGACTCAGAGTGTGGACTGCGAGTCTGAATGTGTGACTTCTCAGAACCATGCCCGAATGGAGGAGACTGAGGGAATCTTCCAGGAGGCCTCCACACAGGAGGGCAGGCTGCAAGTCTCGAACAAGCCCAGTGGCATACATGTAAGTGTGTGAAGTGTACTAAATGATTATTTTTTAAGCCAGATGTGGTGGCACACACCTGTAATCACAGCACTAGGGAGGCTGAAGCAGGAGAATCTCTACAAATTAGGCCAGCCTAGGGCTACATAGTGACTTCAAGGCCAGCCTGGACTACAAAGGGAGACCTTGTCTCAAAAAAAAAAATAAAAGAAATAAATTTTTTTGTTTTTGTTTTTTTGAGACAGCTCACTATGTAGTTCAAGTTGGCCTGGAACTGTGTATCCCACGCTAGCCTTGAATTCACAGGGATACTCCTGCCTCAGCCTTCTGAGTGCTGGGCCTACAGGCATGCACCACACCCAGCTAACAATTTTAAATGTAATAAATCATGGATATAGTGTCACTCTCTTCCATGTTAATGCCAATTTGATCAGTTTGACTTTCTCATCTTTTAGCAGCTGCTTTTAGTCCAAATGTCTCTGCTGTCTTAGCACCCCCCTTGCCGCGTGAATATGACCTCATCATGTCCCAAGAAGACACATTTCTTGGGCTCTCTAGGCATCTGGAGGTGTCAAGCGACAGAGTTCATGCCAGTCAGATATAAGCAGTCTTCTCCAGGGAAGGCGGGGTTCCCGGAAGAGTGTCCTGGGGTTTAAAGAAGACTGAGCATTTGGCACACGGTTTTTGCAGCCTCTCCCCCACCCCTTGGTGCCTGGAAGGTCACACAGTGCTTGGGGCACAGCAGCCACTCAGGAGCGCGAGCCAGCAGCACGCTACTGCCTCTGCTGTCCCCACTGGCTGAGAAAAACGAGGCTTCCGCGCTCAAGCTGCCTTGGCTGACCCCTCATATGCAGCCGACCCCATCCTACACCACAGTATTTGCCGTGCTGTTTACAACTTGGGCTTCTAAAAAGAAAACAATACAAAAACAAGGAAAAAACAACTGGCCGGAAAGTGTAAGAGACATCATTACTGGGACTGGGAAAGGACACAGGGCCGGGAGGGTGGGCGGACACGATCGGGGGACACGTGTGCATGTATGGGACATGGCGGTGAGTCCCACCAACCCGTGCAACAGTAATAATCACAGCAAATGGCATGGTGGTGCATGCCTGTAATCTCAGCACTCAGCGGCTGAGACAGGAAGACTGCAAGTTACACAGGGAGTTCAAGGCCAGCCTGTATTACACATAGTAAGAATTTGTCTCAAAACACAAACAAAAAGAAAAGAAAAAAAGAAAGAAGTAGAAACAACCAAGTATCTGTCTACTGATAAAGGAAAAACAAAATTCAGTATGTCTATACAATGGAATACTATTCAGTCATTAAAAGGAATGAAACGTTGCAACACAGATAGATCTGAAAGCTTTGAAGTGAAAGAATCTAGACATAAAAGGGCCCAGACTGTAAGGTTCTGTGTATATGGGCAAATATTCAGAGGAAGCAGATGCACGGTTACCAGAGTTTGAGGGAAGAGGGGGAACAGGGAGTGACCGCTTGGGTTTGGAGCTGCTGCTTTATTTTTTCCCAGGGTACTATGGGTGGAACCCAAGGCCTCTGCACTAAGCTTCACTCCCACCCCTTTAAAAAATTTTCAGCAGCATCTTGAGATAGGAATCAATGAAAAGGCAGGAGATAGCACCAATGACATTTAAAAAAACCTGTTCACGAAAGTCATGGCAGAAAACTTCCCGAACAGTGAAAAAGAATTTGATGTACAGTTAAGTAGACATACACAACTCCAATTAGTTATGCCCAGAAAATCTGCACTAAGGCATATAGTAGTCAAGGTTCCAGAAATTCGACCTAAGAATAGAATATTAGAAGCTGTTACAGAAAAGAATAAAGTAACCTATAAAGAAAAGCCCATCAGAATCAAAGCACATCTCAAACCGGGTGTGGTGGCATAGGCCTATAATCCCAGAATTCAGGAGGCTGAGGCAGGAGGACCATTATGAGTTCGAGATCAACCTGGGCTACAAAGTGAGCTCAAGGCCAGCCTGAACTGCATAGTGAGACCCTGTCTCAAAAAGACAAAAAACAAACAAACGTAAAGAACCAAAGCAGATTTTTCAACACAAACCCTCAAGTCAAGGAGAGCTTGAAGAGTGAAGTACTTCAAGCCCTAAAAGAAAACCTCCAACTCAGACTGATGTACCCTGCAAAACCATCTTTCAAAACTGATAAAGAAATAAGATACTTTCAGGACAACACCTGAAGAAATTCATGACCACCAAACCAGCACTCCAAAATGTTCTCCAGGACATTCTAGAAAGAGGTAACAAGGACTACAACTCCATGAACCCCAACAAAAGGAATCTACTAGGCAGGCAATTAAACAGAGGGGAAAAAAGGGAACCAATAACCAGAAAAGAACATGACAAGGATAAGTCAATACATATTAGTTATAACCATCAATGTTTTTTTTTTTTGTTCACCTTTCTTTTTTTTTTTATTTTAAAGAATAAAAGAAGGATAACATAATAATAGGGGCGACTTAGCAAATTACAGACAAAATGGTAGGAAATTATCAATGGTTATCGTTTTACGTATTATTATCTACAAAATAGTTTCTCAGGAAAACAAATAGACAAATAATAGTGAGTTAGAGACAAAAGAGGTAGGAGATTATCAGTAGTTGCTGTACTATTCTTTGGTATCTTCAAAGTGGCTTCTAAAGAAAATAAATAGAGCTATACATGAGTGACCTATTGAAAAATCATTAACTATTCTCAATGGTTGTTGTAGGAAACACATAATAATAAACATACATTATGAAATAGGATAGGAACATTACAAACTTAACACAGTTATGGATAGATTAGTAGGAAAATATCAATGGCTGCTGTAATACGTGGTGGTATCTTCAAAGTGGTTTCTCAGGAAGACAGAGATATGCAAGAAGGATCTAATAAGTAGTTACAGCCTAAGGGTTGTCAAAAATAGCATATTACCTCCTCACCAGTGACTCCTTTCACTGAGGTATGATGGCTGGAAGGCAGGCCAGGATTGAAAAGAAGGACCGAGAGATTTGCACCTGTGTCTAGTAACAGGCTGTTTTCTTGTTCCTCCATAGTCATGATTACCCAGGGCTCCTCGATGGAGATGACGGTCTGGCCAGAGGGAGAAGGCAGACCATGCCCCAAGCCCTCTCATTCCTGTTGGACTAACTGGTAGCATGGGTCTGAGCTCTGGGGCCTCCACCTCAGAGGGCAGACCAATCTCCAGTGGTCTCCTTTGCATCCAGGGCATGGCCCATTTAACAATGGTAGCAGATGAATGCAGTTGTCGAGTTCATAACCATCAATGTTAATGGTCCCAATTGAGTTGACCAATCAAAAGAAATAGAGTGGCAGAATAGATCAAGAAGCAAGAGCCAACACTATGCTGCATACAAGAGACACATTTAATTTAAAAAGAAATTCACAGACTGAAAGTCAAAGAATGGAAAACAATACTCCATGAGACAGGAACCTGGAAAAAAGCAGGGATAGCTATTCTGTTTGTCGACAAAGTAGATTTCAAGCCAAGGCTAATCAGGAGAGACAAAGAAAGTCACAATATTCTTGTAAAGGGGACAACCCAAGAGTAAGAGATAGCAACCATAAATATATATACACCAAATACCAATGCACCCTACTACATAAAACAATTATTAACAGACACGAAAAATCAAATAAGCGGTAATACAATTGTAATGGAGGACCTCAATACCCCACTGTCACAAATAGATGAACTAGAACAAAAAAAAATTAATGAAAAAATGTAAGAACTCAACCAAACTTTTGAACAAACAGACTTAGTAGATGTCTACAGAGGGCTGCACCCGCACAACATCAAAACACACTTTCTGCTTGGCTGCAAAGGGGCGTTCTCCAGAAGAGACCGTATACTGGCTCATATAACCTGCTTATACAAAGAGACTGAAATTGGGCTGGAGATATAACTCAAATAAACAACCTAAAGGCAAACCTAAAGCTTCTAGAAAAGAAGAGCCAATCAAGGCCAAAGCTTACAGGAGGGAGGAAATTATAAAGATCAGCACAGAAATGAATGCAATGGACACTAAGAAAACAATACAAAGAATCAATGAATCGAAGAGTTGGTTCTTCGAAAAATTGACAAACCCTTAGCCAATCTTATAAAAAAAAAAAAAAAAAAAGAAAGAAAAGACTGAAATCCATGTAATTAGGAATGAAAAAGGTGAAATCACAACAGATCCTGCAGGAATCCAGAGGATCATCAATACCTACTTCGAGAACCTGTAT